GAGAGAGGAGGGGGACACGGAGAGAAAAGCTGTCACAGCTCTAGTGTGAGGTGAAGAGAAAGGTAAGGGCCTGTCGACGGGTGCCTCTAACCAAGGAGGCAGGTTCCACAGCCTGTGAGGAGTTTTGCTGACAGAGATTACTGTGCGTGGAAAGGAAAGGAAAGGAAAAGAAACCACTGTTTCGCAAGAGCCCGGTTAATTTGCATCTGCTCCAAACCCCCCACCCCCCCAGACCCTGGCTTGGAGAATTGGCCTTGGCATTGCAATGCTAGCTGGAAACACTCAGGCGCAGGCCCAGGCATTCTGGGTTTTTTTCCTCGCAGGATTGGGGTTTGGAGGCAGCAAGGTGGGGACTTGAGAGCGGGGGAGGGGAGCCTGTGTTTTCGAACACTGGGGGAAAAAAATGCCATTTGTTAATAACCATTGTTGAGCACAAATCTTTTTTTTCAGACTCCTGGCATTCAGCACTGGGGTGGTCCATGGGGAGAAGCACAATTCACTGACCAGAGCTGGTGGAGTCTAAAAAGGTCCCTGATGTTATAGGAATAAAAAAAAAATCAGAATTGGGCAGAAATAAATTAGATTAAGCTCTGAAGAGTACTTGGCAGTGCTCCACTATGGGAGAAGTTTGGATGGGGGAGGGCATATGGGAGTGGAGTTCTGGAATTTTCCATTTTTCTTTGTATGCCATTTGTATGTATGTGACAATAAATTTTAAAAATCCTACTGTATATATTATTAACACAGGACATTTCTCAACTGTAGAAATAACGTGTTAAACTATAAAACTAAGAAATAGCCACCAAGCTGTGGTAATCCAAACTCAAGTCTTAAAGACATGATGCAGTGGTGTTCCAACTTGAATAAGTTAGGTGATAGCAACTGCACTGATTGCTTTTATGTTGCCACAATCCACTTGAAGTTAATATTATATCATTTAGTACAAAATTAAGAAATTCCCAACGGTACACTTCAGTTCCTCAATCCTTTGTGTCACCATTCACAAGTTTATGAGATACAAACTCCATATACATTGTTAAAATTTTGGCTTACACATTTGACAAAATACAGCATCCTTTTTTGATTAAAACTCCACAGTGTAGGGAAAGAGGGAACAAACCTCAATATCATAAAAGCTGTCTATGAAAAGCCCACAGTGAATATCATTCTCAATGGGGAAAAACTGATTGCTTTTCCCCTAAGGTCAGGAACATGACAGGGTTGCCCATTCTCAACACTGTTGTTCAACATAGTACTAGAAGTCCTAGCCACAGTAATCAGACAACAAAAAGAAATAAAAGACATTCAAATTGGCAAAGAAGAAGTCAAACTTTCACTCTTCGCAGATGACATTATACTTTATGTGGAAAACCCAAAAGACTCCACCCCAAAATTGCTAGAACTCATACAGCAATTCAGCAATGGGGCAGGATACAAAATCAATGCACAGAAATCAGTTGCATTTCTATACATTAACAATGCGACTGAAGGAAGAGAAATTAAGGAATTGATTCCATTTATAATTGCACCAAAAACCTTACAATACCTAGGAATAAACCTAACCAAAGCGGTAAAAGAGCTGAACTCTGAAAACTACAGAACACTTATGAAAGAAATTGAGGAAGACACAAAGAGATGGAAAAAAATTCCATGCTCATGGATTGAAGAATAAATATTCTTAAAATGTCTATGCTACTCAGAGCAATCTACATATTCAATGCAATCCCTATTAAAATACCATAGACTTTTTCACAGAGCTGGAACGAATAATCCTAAAATTTGTATGGAACCCGAAAAGACCCCAAATAGCCAATGGAATGTTGAAAAACAAAACCAAAGCTGGGGGCATCGCAATGCCTGACTTCAAGCTATATTACAAAACAGTGATCATCAAGACAGCATGATGCTGGCACAAAAACAGACATATAGGTCAATGGAACAGAATAGAGAACCCAGAAATGGACCCTCAATTTTATGTGCAACTAATCTTTGACAAAGCAGGAAAGAATATCCAATGGAAAAAGAACAGTCTCTTCAATAAGTGGTACTGGGAAAATTGGACAGCCACATGCAGTAGAATGAAATTGGACCATTCTCTTATACCACACACAAAGATAAACTCAAAATGGATGAAAGACCTCAATGTGAGACAGGAATCCATCAAAATCCTAGAGGGGAACATAGGCAGCAACCTCTTCAACCTCAGCCACAGCAACTCCTTGCTAGACATGTCTCCAAAGGTAAGGGAAACAAAGGGAGAGTTAACTATTGGGATTTCATCAAGATAAAAAGCTTCTGCATGGCAAAGGAAACAGTCAACAAAACCAAAGACAATTGACAGAATGGGAGAAGATATTTACAAATATCTTATCAGATAAAGGGTCAGTATCTATGATCTATAAAGAACTTATCAAACTCAACACCCAAAAAACAAATAATCCAGTCAATAAATGGGCAGAAGACATGAACAGACATTTCTGCAAAGAAGACATCCAAATGGCCAACAGACATGTGGAAAATGCTCAACATGACTTGTCATCAGGGAAATACAAATCAAAACCACAATGAGATACCATGTCACACCAGTCAGAATGGCTAAAATTAACAAGACAGGAAACAACAAATGTAGGTAAGGATTTGGAGAAAGGAGAACCCTCTTACACTGTTGGTGGGAATACAAGCTGGAATAGCCAGTCTTGAAAACAGTATGAAAGTTTCTCAAAAAGTTGAAAATAGAGCTACCCTACAACCCAGCAATTGCAATACTAGGTATTTACCCCAAAGATACAGATGTAATGAAAAGAAGGGGCACCTGCCCCCCAATGTTCATAGCAGCAATTTCCACAATAGCCAAACTGTGGAAGGAGCCTAGATGTCCATCAACAGATGAATGGATAAAGATGATGTGGTATATATATACAACGGAATATTACTCAGCCATCAGAAAGGATGAATACTTACCATTTACATTGATGTGGATAGAACTGGAGGGTATTATGTTAAGTGAAATACGTCAATTGGAGAAAGACAATTGTCATATGGTTTCACTCATATGTGGAATATAAGAAACTGCAGATGATCATAAGGGAAGGGAGGGAAAACTGAATGTGAAGAAATCAGAGAGGGAGAGAAACCATGAGATACTCTTAACTATGAGAAACAAACAGGGTTGCTGAAGGAGTAACTGGGTGATGGGCATTAAGGAGGGCACGTGATGTGATGAGCACTGGGTGTTATTGGCAACTGATGAATTGCTGAACACTACATCTGGAACTAATGATGTATTATTTGTTGGGTAATTGAATTAAAATAAAATAAAATAAAATTTGGCCTTACAGAGTTAGTTGTCTTTTATAGATATTAAGACAAGGTGAAAAATAACTTTTATATTTACCCCTATGTGCACAATTCCACATGACTTCATTCTTTCTTGGACATTTGAGTTTTATATAGTGTCACCTCCCATCAAGGGTGAAGAGTTTCGTTTTGCATATCTTAAAGTGCAAATCTGCTGGCAATAAATTCTTTCAGCTTCTATTACTCTGAAAATATATTTATTTTGCCTTCATTTTTAAATGTCATTCCTAACACATTAAAGACATAACTTTTATCTCCATTTTTGTCTGATGGCAGTAAGCTATCATTGCCTTTAAGATATCTTTTTATCTTTGGTTTTCTGCAGTTAGTCTATACTATTTAGTTTTCTTTGTATTTTTCTAGCTTGGGTTCTCTGAGTTTCATGGATATGTCAGTTCACATTTCCCCCAAAATTTGGTTATATTTTAGCAATTTTTCTTTTAAATTTCTTCTCTTATCCATTTTCCCCCCTTATAATTAGGAATCCAACTGAATATATGCTGGAACTCTAGATATTGCCCAACAGATCGCTGAGTTTTGTTTGTGTTTTCATTCTTTTACTCTTTTCTTAAAATTGGATAATTTCTATGGCTCTGTCTTCAAGTTATTGACCTTTAAATCAGTCTGCTATTTAGCCTGTCCAGTGATTTTTTCCATTTTAGGTGTTACATTTTCAGTTCTAATATTTCCATTTGATCCTCCCCCCACCCCCCAAATTTGTAATACAATATGATTGACTATAGTTACCATGCTTTACATTACATATGCAGGACTTATTTATTTTATAGTTAGAAGTTTGTACCTCTTGATCCCTTTCACCCATTGGGCCCACCTTCCAACCCCTCATCTCTGGCAAACACCAATCTTTTCTGTATCTATGTTGTTCTTCATTTTGTTGTTCATTTGTTTTCTTCTTCTAGATTCCACATATAAGTGAAATCATATGGTATTTGTCTTTCTCTGACTTATTTCACTTAGCATAATACCCACAAGTTCTATCCATGTTGTCACAAATGGCAAGAATTCATTTTTTATATGGCTGAATAATATTCCATTGTGTATATATACTACATCTTCTTTATCCATTCATCTATCAGTGGACACTTAGGTTGTTTCCATATCTTGCCTATTGTAAGTAATGCTGCAATGAACATGGGGTGCATATGTCTTTTCTTCTTTTTTTTTTTTTTAAGATTTTATTTATTTGAGAGAAAGAGTGAGCAAGTGTGAGAGAGCAAGCATGAGCAAAGGGAGAGGGAGAAGCAGACTCCCTGCTGAGTAGAGAGCCCAATGTGGGGCTCAATCCCAGGACCCTGAGATCATGACCTGAACTGAAGACAGTCACTTAACCAACTGAGCCACCCAGGTGCTCCTGCATATGTCTTTTCAAAATAGTGTTTTGTTTTTCTTCAGATATATGCCCAAACATGGAATTGCTGGATCATATGGTAGTTCTATTTTTAATTTTTTGAGGAAACTCCTTACTGTTTTTCATTGTGCTTGTACCAATTTACATTCCCACCAACAGTGCACAAAGTTCCCTTTTCTTCACATCCTTGCCAACACTTGTTATTTTTTTGTTTTTTGATGATGGCCATTCTGACAGGTGTGAGGTGATATCACAGTGTGGTGTTGATTTGCATTTCTGTGATGATTAGTGATGAGCATCTTTCCATGTACCTGTTGGCCATCTGTATTCTTCAGT